TTTCTCTTATGAAGAAATGAAGAACATAGTACGAGTTGAATGAAGAGAGTTTGAAGAATTATGAGGTGTGATTGTGAATGAAGGAGTTTGATGCATATAAGTGAAGAAATATGCGACAAAAATTATGGCCATAATTACCTCGATAACAGGCAAAACTAATGCTAAATCATGGGATGACGCGTGTTCGGAGAATTAAATATAGAGAGACGTGCGTCTAATCAACCGTCAGAAACTTTTTAGAGGGGGTCAGTAAATTTTCCACCAAAAAAAATGTCTCTACCAACTTGTCGATGACACAAAGTTATACCATCAGAAAGCAGGGGGACTATCTGTATGGGGTAAAACATGTTATATTAAATGATCGCATGAGAAAGTGACACGTGGAGTCGAAGATAGAGGATAGCAGAAACCGAAGGCAACGATCTCGTCTGTTACCGGAAAGAATAATACTCACAAAGATGAAAAAAATATTTGTCACCCGGTAGCATTTAATTAATGAAGAATACTCTACAACATTTAGTCTACTGCCCGTTACAAAAGAATATGGCATTCATGCCTGCCGTTACACACTCTTCAATGACACTCATAATTGGTATTAAAAAGGGGCTTGATCCTAGGACCATGTTCCCTAGGTACAACTATAAATAGTGAGCTCTACTATCATTGTAAGGGATACGAATTTTCTGGCAAACTTACGCTACAGTACTCTATTCAAAGCTTAATATAATCTTATCTTCTTGCTTTTTTATTTCATTGTTGTTGTGCCCGGAAGCCCTGTTCCCGGAACTATTATTTCTGCTATTTCGTCTCCATCTCAAGGCTTTTCATGATTAAATTAATTCACTTGTCTAGAAACTACTTATAAATTTAACTGTACCGTTTTACGGATAAACAGTTATTGCTTCCACCACCAGAGCCACCACCACTACCACTACCACCATGCAATCCTCCACCAGTTCCAGTACCAGCACTTCCTAAATACCAATTCCCCGCCAAATAAACCACAGCCACCGTCGCCTGAGCCACCTACACTGAGCAACCGCCTACGCATAAACCATGCTGAGATACCCATTATAATACTTTAATGTGCACCAGAAATATTTAAGAAAAAAAGAGTACTGAAAATTAAAGAATAAAGAACATTGACCAAATAAGCAAAATGTAGGGGTTAGCGTCGGTCGGTTCGGTCGGTTATTATGAAAGTACGGTTCGGTTTATCGATTTTCGATTTTGTAATCTTAATAACCAAATCAAACCAAAGTATTTACAGTTCGGTGTAGTTTTTTCAAGGTTCGGTTCAGTTATTTCCGGTTTATCTGTTATTAACAGTTCAAGATTTTTATATCTTAGATTTACTTTCAGCGGTCATAAACTTCCAGTCCAGTAGTTATTCTTTCACTGTTTTGGTCATAAACTTTCGGTTCTTTCACTGTTGTTCCGTGTAAACTTTCAGTTCTGGTGCCAGAACAACTACAAGTTCTCTTTTCAATTACAAGTGATAATAACTAGATAAGTACAAAAAGGGTCCGACTCATAAGATTGAGTTTTGCTATATATACAGTGGAAAAGGCTCCAACACAAAAACTGAGCATTATTGTGACTCATGAACTTTACCATCAAAGCAAATCTAAGATGTATACATAGTTCAAATGAGAAGTCTGCAGAGACTGTTAACAAACAATGTCCACCCTGGCCTTAGCAATCTCCAATTGTCCATGTCAAAAAGCAGCTAGACCATCTACTGATCTAAAATGATAAAAATGAAGCAATCAAGTAATCTCCAGAAAATAAAAATAAAAATTGATACCTTTATTTTCAATTATGGAATTCATGGATGCCTAAAAAGTGAACATTGGATATGGAAATATGGAACTCAAAAGAAGGAGGTAACCAATAACCTGAGGAAGAAAAATGAGCGACGAGCTGAGGAAGAAGGCGTCACAGCAGTCAGCAGTCGGGCGTCGGCAACAGCAGTCGCACAGAGGTGAGAAGACTAGAGGAGGAACTCTAATTTTTGATTTCTAAGGAAGGGAATAACTTAAGTCACTAAGTGAGTAAGTCTTAGGTTAGGCTTCAGATGGGTTTTGGTAAATTGGGTGGGTTTCAGATGGGTATTGGACTATTGTGCTTCAGATGGTTAATAAGTTTTGGACTCTCAAAAGAAACCATATGTTCAAACCTATTTTTCTCAACTAATACCCAAAATTTCGATTTTTCGGTTTAACCGAAAACCGAAACACCAAAATCGTAAACCGTACCGAAAAACCAAAATTTAATAATTTAAAAACCGTGCACCGACCGAATAACCGATTAAACCGAAACCGAAAAACCGAAATTCACTGTTCGGCCAGTTTTTTCGATTCCGCCGGTATTATGCCCACCCTAGCAAAATGCCCTTGAGGTGTGAGAATTAATGCACTTCTCCGGGCAAATATATATAGTGTTAAGTAGGCCATTTCATTTTCAGTAGTCGACTAACATGAACATTTTAATATTGACCATGTGTTAGTAGGTGTCAAATAATTATACAATTATGTGTCTATTATTTTAATATAGATTTCTTCAACACTAATATATGAATCCGTGTGCAGTTAGTTTATGATTTATAAATAGCAATCAAGAATCATCCAGATTCCAGGTATCATAATAAGAAATATACATAAAAATATATGCTTGCATAGACATAGTGGCTTCCCACGAACTATGCAACTAACTATTTATATATTTGCCAGCAATTTGCATTTGTAAATAAGATGGTTTCGTGAAGATTATGATTAAATTCAACGATTCATCATTCTTAAGAGTTCAAAAAAAACAAATCGTAGTTAAGGGATAATTACACCTTGAATGTCCTTAAGGATGTAAATTTCTGGGGGAGGGGTACCTGAAAAATATCGAGTTAGTATAAAACTCAATAAGTTTCATAGCCACGCAAATATAATGATACATTTAAGACCATAAATTTCAAAAGTCTTCTTATCTTTCTTAAACTTTGTGTCAAGTCAAATTATGTCACCTTAATTAAAACGGAGAAAGTATTATGATGATGTGGTCCATCAATGTGTACACCAAGTTAAAACTAATCGTCTCACCCTTAATTATTCTTCAATAATAATGTATTTGGATACTTACGAAGATAACTATGATCAACATATGCCTTTTAACACACAACATGGAAGATAAAGAAGTCATCTAAAATACCATTTCAGCAGTATTTTGTACTCTAATTGCTGTACTTTATTCGTGTTTGAGCTTAAATAATAATGATTTGCACTTATTACATGTTTTATGCCTTGCAAGATATGATTCCAAGTTAAGAAGATAATCTGAAGCTAAATCGAATAATTTATAGCTTTAAAGTCTATGTAAAAGCTCTAGGAATTTAACCGAGATCGCGTTCGGGGGTCGAATGAAGTAATGAACAAGTCTGGATAACTTATATAGCATACAAGTTTGAGTTTATGCCCTCTTCTCTCAAATTATGTTTCTTGTAGAGGTCTTTAGTTTAGTCATCTTCGGCACTTTATTTGTTCTTTTTTCTCTGCTTTACCAATAAAATATTTTATTTCTATTCATGCATGCTTAATTCCATAAGATCTTTTGTAATGATCCCCTTAATTTCTTAATGATTCCTAAGCAATATAAAATTATCTGCCAACTATTAGGGAAGAAATCTCATATTGTTTTATCAGTTTATAAAACTCACAATGGTGCGAATATTTCAAACTTCCTAAAACATTCTTAATTAAAATGTCACTGTGAGTTGAAAGTGAATAAAAAAGAGGCCATTTTAACACTATATATACTTGATTAGAGAGATGCATTTCTCATTCCATTTCTTCTTATTCTTCTTAAATATTCTTGGTGCAAATTAAAGTTACAATATAATGAGGTTCTCAGCTCGTTTTCTTGGAGTTGTTCTCTTAATTGTTCTTGTCAGTGGCATTATGGTTTCTGCTGACATGTTTACTAGCAGGCGCATGCTTGGTGCTGGTGGCTCAGGTGGCGGCGGCGGCGGTTTATTTGGCGGAGGAATGGGTGCTGGTGCAAGTAATGAACATTTAGGAAGTGGTGGTACTGGAATTGGTGGAGGATTGCTTGGTGGTGGTGGTCATGGCTCTGGTGGTGGAGACTAATTAATTAATTTACCTTAATTATCTTAATTAATTGCAAAAGAAGTTATGTGGATTATTGTTTTTGCTGTTATAAGTGAAGTTTGTATTTGGACATGGTGTGCGGAACATTATTTGCCGTGTCTCTATACTCGGCTACTTGTTTGGATTTATGGTGTAATTATTTTTATGGTTTCTCGCAAAAGAACTTCATGTTATATTCGTTCCTTTACATACTGTATCATTTTTATGTATACGATTTTTAAACAAGATTGTTGCTTTTGCAGTTTCTAACTCTTTTGTTTTTTTGGGGTAAGTTTGTGTTTGGGGTGTTTTTTTGGATTGACTCTTTGTTTCTTGGATTTTGATTCATTAAATTAAAGAACAACTTCTTGATTTATTAAATCTTTCACATATTGTATCATTTATATGTATTTTTGTGATTCTTTCTTTTCAACCAGCTTTCAGTATCAGTTGTATTTACCTATTTTAAATGTTACTCAATTGATGATGTGCAAATCTGGAGAGGTTCAATGTCAAACAACTTAGATAACAGCCTTATCCAACTTTATAATTATGAAAGTGAAATAACAGGATAAAAACAACAGAAAGAGTAGAAAAGCAAAAGAAGAGAGAATCTAACACACTTGAAAAGCTACATTTTTATTATTATGGTTGGATAATACAATAGCCCACAAGCTTTACATGCAAGATGTAAAGAAACTTTAAGGAACAAAACCACTTTAATGTATCGGATACAAATACAAACTCTTGTTTAAGTAGTACTCCCATTTTTAACAAGTTTCACAAAAGAATAACTACAGAAGTACATAATATCTTGATCACTTTCTTAGCTTATATATGCAAGAAGATGGTACTGATCGATGATCAATGCTTACCACCACCAATGCCTCCTCCACCACCAAAGCCACCACCACCTCCACCTCCTAAACCGCCACCTCCGCCAACGCCTCCACCAGCTCCAAACCCTCCTCCAGCACCACCACCACCACCAATGCCACCACCTCCACCACCACCAAAGCCTCCGCCTCCACCTCCACCTAAACCACCTCCAGCACCTCCACCTGCGCCAAAACCACCACCTGCACCTCCACCTATGCCTCCTCCTCCACCAGCTCCACCACCACCACCAAATCCACCACCTCCACCAAGTCCTCCTCCAGCTCCACCGCCAACACCACCACCAGCTCCGCCACCTACTCCACCACCCCCACCAAGTCCGCCTCCTCCACCTAGTCCACCACCACCTCCAAGACCACCTCCTCCACCTAAACCCCCACCTGCACCGCCACCAAGACCTCCACCTGCACCACCACCTAGACCTCCACCATGTCCTAGCCCACCACCACCTCCTAATCCACCTCCACCTCCGAGACCACCACCAGCACCTCCACCTAAACCTCCCCCATGTCCAAAACCTTTACGTCCAAAACGTTTCCCATACTTTGGACGTTTATGCCCAAAGAGGAACTTCTCATCTTCAACTCCATTAACATCAGCAAACACCACACAATCAACAAACAGAACAACTAAAAGAAAACACCCAAGAAAACGAGCTGATAATCCCATTTTTATCTCAACTCTAAAACCCTAGATATGCAAGAAGGAAAGCTATTTGAGCCAATTATATAGCAAAAGTTACATACCTTACGCACAATATCAGTATATCACATGGTAGGTCCAGTTAAAACTCAACCCTCATCTTCTAATACGTAAATGCATGTTGCTTTCCGATTAGGCAAAAGTTTTAATTCTTCCAACTGCCACCCTCTAATACACGGACTCAGACTATAAAGTCACAAAGACAGCTCCATTGTCATTACTGCTTTGGTTCTGGGAGATTTGACTTTTAACGGATAATTTTGGTTTTTCTTTTTCCCACGACTTTTAAGGGATAACTTATTTTCTGAAAGTTATTTTTCTCAAATGCTTCTGTTTGATTGAAAACTGAAAATGTTTTGCGAACAGAATATTTGCTACATATTGATAATAAAATTAGCAGATCTAAGGTGTGTTTGGTACGATAGAAAATGGTTTTCGTGACTTGGAAAACAAGTAGTAATCTTATTTATTTTTCGGTGTTTGGTACGCGTAAATTCCAAACACATAAACCTTCGAACTCATAACTTTGGAACTTGTAAAATTTTGAACGTGTAAACCAAAAGATTAAAAAACTAAAACTGAAAATATATAAAAAAATATTATTTTTTTCGGGGGAGAGAGGGAGGGGCGGAGTGCAGAAAAACGAAAAAATAGAAATTTAAAATTACAAAAAAAAAAGTAAAAAAAAAACTTTTTTTTTGCGGGGAGGGGTTTTTGGGGTGGGAGTGCAGAAAAACGAAAAAACAGAAATTTAAAATTAAAAAATAAAAAGTAAAAAAANAAATGAGTTTATAAGGAAAATATTTTTTAAAATATTTAACACAACCGAACGTGTAAAAATTGGAAAATATTTGGGAGAGTACACCCCAGAATTGTGGACCAAATCCCTGTGACATACTGTCTAACCATGAAAATTACCTATGCATTAATGGTGATTTGATGCAATTTTTTAGTATCAAAGATTGACAATAATGTATGTGTTCGTGTGATAATACTATAAAGTTAAGAGTTCGAGGGAATTTGAAGAAAAATTGCTTCCGCGCAAAGGTGAGGAAATTCATTTTTCCCCTCTTGAAGAAAATGTTTCAACTAAAAATATTTGTTTGACAGCCAAATATATAAAAATGATTTATTCTCGATATTTCGAAAGATATTTGAGATCATATATCAAGCACACTAAGGTGTCCCATTTATCTCAATTTTATCCACAATGGGGTTTAGTTGATTCCCCGCCAGTTCGAAAGAGCAGTTTGATTAGCTATCCTTTAACAGTTAATACATGAGGCGGAGCTAGAGTCTAGTTACTAATTTGGTAGAATTCAATAGCTTCGATTAAAATATTATATTTATATTAAAAATATTATTAAATACGTATAAATAATTTATGATTAGAATTCACCAAACACTTTTTTAGAATTTAGAATCCATAAACCTAAAATTCCGAATATGTATGTGCTTCATACTCGAGGGATTATAACTTCCTTGTCCTATGGTCCATGAACTTGATTCCTTTTTTCCGTGTAGGTCATTCATTATTAATGGTGTGCCTTTGTATTCAAAGGGCTCTATTTATTGGGTCTTCTGAATGTAATTAATAGAACAACCAAACATTTCTGCCAACAGTTTATACTCTCTCTTTCTCTATCAGAATATAGAAAGCTACTGGTTACAAAAAAATTCCTTGGTGCAAAATAAGTATAGCCATTAATGTAATTATTGTTCTTTCTTTTTCTCAGTTTGTTTTTCAATTTTTGCTTCTTTTCTTACTTCTCTCCTACTGTATACTCCATCTGATTCAATTTAGATGACACACTTTCCTTATTAGTCTGTTCCAAAAGAATAACATATTTTTATAATTGAAAATAATTCAACTTTAAACTCTTTATTTTACTCATTCTATCTTTAATGAAAAACTTTTATAATCATACAAATATCATGACCCCACAAAGTTTTTACCCTTTAAACTTTTAAGACCACAAGCTTCAAAAAAAAAAAATTCTTAAACTCCGTACCGAGTCAAACTGTCTCAAATAAATTGAAACGGATGGAGTAGTACTTTTTAGAAGGAATTCAATGTAACTTAAATACTTATGATTTAAAGAATTTTTACATTATTATATACTTTAACTAGCTATAATAGCAAGTTATAATCTAAATTGGATTGACTACGTCAGTTATCTATAATTGCATGTCATCATAATACGATGATGGTATAAAAAAGTACGCTATCAGTAAATAAAAGTTGTATTATTTAAATTTTCTTATTATTACATAGATGAACAATAAAAGTTGAGGCGACATAAATTATGTGTTAGAATCTCTTAGTGTCTCTAGTCTATGCTATAAGTCATGGTTCTCTCCTGCTACTTTGTATGCTTTTTCTTTCTTTTCCTTTTTCTGTTTTTCTTGTGGAAGGTGGAGGACTAGCTACTAGGTTAGTTAGTTTAGTAGTACAGATTAAAATATGGAAAATAGAAGAATGGGTTTTGATGTGAGAGAATATTTATTTGTTACTTATCTTGCGAAGCCTGAATAGTTTTGGAGTAAATTGCACCCTCATTTAATTTGATTCGTTCCCTTTCATGACACATATTTTACCATGCAAGTTCATGCAATAGCGGATCCAGGATTTAAATATTATAGGTTCAGGATGTGTTTGATATAACGGAAAATATTTTTCGTGGAAAATACTTTTCAAGAAAATATTTTCTTGAAAAATAAATAATAATCTTATTCATTTTCCGATATTTGATATGCGTAAACTTCCAAACACATAAACTTTTTTTGTNTCGGAAAATATTTTCCTTCATACCAAACACACCCTCAGTCTTTAAGATTTTTAGCATTAAAATATATTAAAACTGTGGGTTCAAAGTTGCAGATATAGGTTCAGCCTTTAAGATTCTTAGCATTGAAATATATTTTTAAAATTGTGGGTTCAAAGTTACAACTATAAGTTCAACCTTTAAGGTTTTCAGCATTGAAATGTATTTTTAAAATTATAGGTTGAGAGTTACAACTATAGGTTCACCCTTTATGGTTCTTACTTCTTAGCATTGAAATATATTTTTAATATTCTAGGTTCAGAGGTATAGCCATAGATTTAGCATTTAAGGTTCCTAGTATTGAAGTATATTTTTAAAATTGTAGGTCCAGAGCTACTATTTATTATAATTTTAATTAATTTTTAGGCATAAATTTAAGCTCCACGAATGTCCACATGAATTCAGTACTGCAATGCTACATCCGCCTTTGAGTCTATGTGGTAGAAATATTAATTACTTCTTATGTGATGGGAACTAATATAAGAGTAAAAAAAACTCGAAGATCAGGCAAGAGGAAGGGTAAACCTTCAACAGAGAAGAAAAAAATGTTGGAGCCCAAACCCGAAGTTGAGAAGCTGCAAATGCGGCAAAATGTGAATCAGTCCAACTTAAACACAAGGATCCACGTGAAAATAGCACGAGCTAGCTAATTTTCGAACTGATAATTAAAAAATAATCAGCGTTTGCAAAGTCATTTTAAAATAGCCACTATTTTACTGCAATACAGAAAGTTCCAGCATAATATATTGGAGATTGGTGCACATGTTGATCACGCCCAACTCTAGTCCTATAAAGGATAAGCGGTCGCTGCAAATATAATCCGGTCTAAAAGTTCGGAGTCGAATCCCACAGAGAACTAAAGTATAGCTACATCTATTCTCTATTATCAAGAACACAAGTTGGAACAATTCCTAATTAGTTATAAATATAAAGATTCTTATGTCTAACCAATTAACTAATAAATTAAAGGAGTGAATTAACAACTAAAGATACTAAGGGTTGGAGACAAGATTAAGGAGGTCTAGAGTTCTGATTTTCCCAATTGTCGGAATCCTTCCCGCTACGTCTCCTATAATTTCGCTTAATTATTCTCTACTGATCATGAGCACTTCAGGTGTCGTAATTCTCTCCCGAGCAACTACAATAATTTACTAGACATATTCTCCTGAACTATACTAGTTGGCACAATCTTACCGCTCACTATGACCACGTCAAGGCTTTGTTATTCTTAAACCCACCTTTAAACATGCCGTATTGATTCCTCATATACGTTAGGAGTGACGTTATTCAATAACTACCTAAATATGTACCATTTCCCAAGCAATACATAATAAATAGGTACATTCAATCAATGGCCATTCAATCAACAGAAATAAGTACGTAGTTGAACAAGTAAAGAAATTCAAAGGCTAAATTATATTTAAACATAACAAGAATTCATCCTCCAAAAGGTTCTATCAAAACCCTAAATACTAAATTAGCTACTCATAGTAGTATGTGAAAATACAATACTAAAATTCATAGCCAACAATAGAAAACAGAAAGAAGAAAGGAAAAACTCATGGTTGAGTCTTCCTCCTTGCTCCTAGTGTATTCTTGCCTCCAAAGGTGTTGTATAACCCTAAAATAGTGTCTCCTCCTCCAAAGTTCTGTAAAAATCATATTTAGCGTGTATTTATATGAACAAGGTATGGTGGAGGGCCGTCCAATACAATACAATATCGGATAGGAGAGCTGGAATTTGCGTCTGCCTTCGCGCGTCGCGCGCCCATGGACGCAGACTCAGCTTTTGCAATTTTCCAGTTCGCGAAGATTCGTGCCTTCGCTTCACTTCGCTGTTTTGTGCCTTCAGTTTTCTCCTTTTTTGCGTCCGTTTTTGTGCCATTGGACGAGCTTCCAATTCTTTCCATCTCTTTCTTTTTGTGTTAATTGTCATCTTTTGATCATTTATCATCCAAACTCGTTCCTACACATAAGAAATACATAATGGGCATATTTCACTTGAAAAATCACATAATCTCCCGCGACTCACACAAGAATTAATATGCATTTTGTACCATTTATCACCTGTGTATGAACTTCCAGCATATTATACTGGAACTCCAACACTCGGAAAAATTCCAGCATAATATACGGGAGATT